GAAAACTCAATTGACTTAGTTTCAAATACGAATGAATGTGAAAGGAAACCCATAACTGCTGACCAAAAATCCAATAAAAAAGTGTATCATACGTCAGGATATAAGATGTGTGTGAAGAAGTTTTGGAAATCAAGTCTGTCACCAGTGATTAAGACACCCGAAGAAAGTCTATTAGAGGACGCAACAGATTTGGAGACAGATAGTGATACAAAGGATGAGGACAAGTTGCAGCAAGATACCATAGAACGCATGCCAACAGAAAAAGATGGCGAGACTGCAACTAACTGCAAACAAGGTTGAACGGGACCGTGAGCTTGTCCCTCTGCGACAGTAGAGATATTCGCGACCGCACTCTCGATAAGTTAGTGCGAAAACTCCTGTTCCTGGAAGATGCACTGGCCAAAAAGGACAAGGAAACAGTAAATTTGGTGGAGATATATCAGCAAGAACTGCAAAAGCAGGCCGACAAGCTTACAAGTGTGTACTGTGTTATAGCTGAGCTTGCTATGTCTTCTCTTGAGATTCAAGATAAACAGCCTCGCCAAGAAAGACAATCAGAGGACACAACAGATTGGGAGGCAGATAGTGATGCAAAGGACGAGTTGCAGCAACATGCCATGGAACGCATGCCAACAGAAAAAGTCAGTAGAGCACAACCTCGATAAGGTAGTGCGAAAACTCCTGTTCATGGAAGATGGACTGGATGCACAAGATGCACCAATCATGATAAAGTTCTGATTAAAGAACACATCGTCTCTAGTGTGCTGCCAACAGTCCACCCATTCCAGTTCCCAAATTCCTGGGGGTGCACATCACAGACACCCTCACCTGGAATGTAAACACCACCTCACTGATCAAAAGGGGACAAAAGCGCATATACTTCTCAGGGAGGATGAGGAGAGTCCACCGGCCCTCACCCATCCTCAACACCTTCTACAGAAGCACCATAGCGATGTTCTGACCAGCTGTCTCACTGTGTGGTGTGGAGGCTGCTATGCCTCAGACTGGAAAAGGTGAGAAGAGTGGTAAGAACAGCAGAGATGATCATCAGGGCTCCTCTACCCTCCATAAAAGACATTTCATCTCAGTGCTGCATGTCTCGAGCCCGTAACATCCGAAATGACCCCTCACCCTCGGATGCAGTTCGAGCAGATTTCAGAACAGTTTCTTCCCCACTTCCATTAGACTGATCTTGGTGAAAGATTAATGCAACACTGGATGGAAATAAATCTTTTGACATTGAAGAAGCTTATGGAAACAATGCCACAGCGAATGCGTGCCATAATCAAAGCTAAAGGCGGTCCAACAAAGTATTAGAGTGAATTACCTTTTTTTTTGGTGGCGACTTTTTTTTTGGCCAGGCAGTGTATCTGTTTGTGCCTGAGGTTTATCTCCCTGGCAGGTATTTTTAGACAGTGCCTCAAAGTTTACTCCCTCAAAAGATGATGCTTCCAGCCTCAGGCCTTTCTATTTGGGATATTGGGATTTGCAAGCTTCCCTTATGATGGTGGTTATGTCTATAAAGCTGACGTAAGCTTGATAGATGTCTCCAGTAGTTAAAGTATTTAGCTCTTGAGTTTATTTGCAAAGCAATCGGGACGTCTGTGTTTTGGATCAATTGATTCAATCATTTTCATACGAAATTTATTTTACTTTGCGTACAAACCCTGCCTCACATTCTAAAGCATACTGAAAATGATGAGTCTGACTGGATAGTTTTCAACAAACTACTGTGGAACAATTAAAAAAGCCTTTTCATACTTTTAATTTTTTACTGTAAGGCATTCTGAAAGAAGGAAGAACTGAGTTGCACTGATAATAATGCAGATGTTCTAAATATAGCTTGATGTTAAGAAAAGTCTGTTTAAAGCAGTATGCTGCTCCTTCAGAGAATGACATAGATCTGTTTAATTAACACACTACACATCTCACAGTCTCCAGTGGCTCCACGATGGGATTAATAGCACAAAGCTTTCAACACACTGTTTCTGACTCTGTTACCGAGCAAATAAGACTGTAGCTGGAGTGTTAACCAATCCCACTGACTGTCCCTTGGCGAGAGAGGTGTTTTGTGAAAAAAAACAAAAAAACTCTTTCACTCATTTCAATAAAGGAGAATCCTTCATTTTGCCTTTACTTTGGTTTTGCTCCCCCCATCTGCAGAAATCCAGGATAGAACTGAAATCATGCAACTGACTTTGGACCAGTAATCTGGTTAGAGACCAGAGGTTACATAGTCTAGGACTGGAGGCAACCAATTGGGGATCAGTAATCTGGTCAAGAACAAGTATTTATCACACAATGGACCCTGGAAAGAACAGGAGTATACCATCTCTGATATTATTACACAACTGAAAGTCTGATGAAAAATCTAAAAGTTTACTCCCATTTATAAGTTGGCAGACAGGTTGACACAGCCAACAGACATAATTTAATTTAATCAAATAACATTTTTATCTACAATCTCTTAGGAAATTGTAGCTTGAATAAATGCTCTAATTTAATGTTGGAGCTGACTTAGGGCATCAGAATTTGCCAAAAGTCCATACAAGTAATATATACTTCAAACCAGCAGACATAGAGTACCACAGGGCCCAAACAAGTATCCAATCAAGGGCGAGGTGCTTTGTCCGGTAGGTAACACCTTCAAAGAGACAAAAATCGACAGGAGCGAGCAGAAACAGATCAACACGCAAAGAAGAGGGAGGCTGCATCGTGCCCAGAGGTGTTGTACTCCATTTGTGCATGTATCATGTTAAAGATGCGAGGGAAGATTAGCTTTTGGGTTTCTGTATTATGTAAAGCTGCTCATAGGAGTCTTTATTGCGTATGTGAACTTTTGGCAGAATCCTGACGTCATACTCACTGATGTGGACATTTTTTAGTATGAGTGGTTTAAATTCAGGTAAAACACATCTAAGTTGTCTGCCTTACTTAATTTCAGTTAATCATTTTCTCTCCAACAAGCCCATAGTTATATGACCTAAAGGAAATGTTATCTAATATTACTCTACAGATCCTTACGGTACACATTGGACACATGGAAATACACATGGAAATACCTCTTCCATTAGAAATAGTGATTGGAAAATAAACTAATGTCTTCATGTTTGTAACAGAATTTGCATTTGGATTGTTAATAAAAATAAAATTCAAACATGTATAAAAAAATGCATACAGAAGCATATGAAATATTACCGGGTTGTTAGAATTATTGAACACATGGATTCAGGCCGTGACGCTAAGCCAAAGACACACATTGAGGTTAGAGCTCGGGGCAGATATTCCTAGAAGCAGGACTGCATCGCTGAGGTGTTACTGTCAAAAGCAGGACTTACCTTATAAGTTTTTCTTTATCATCATCAAAAAACCTTTACATCTAAAGAACAAAATGACAGAACACCACTGTGGTTTTAATATCAGGTCTTAGAAGTACTGCTAAAATGATAATCAGTGTTTTGATGCTTTGTTACAGCATGTAGCTTCTTTGATAACTGTGTGAAAGAGAAGATGTTGTTGTGTTTATTGTATAAAATGACTTGTATCTTTAAGTATGAAGTAGATAGTCTGAAGCCTTCCCTAATGAGATGTCAGCTTTGCACACTGTAGTTTATCATCTCAAAAGGTTTAATTTCCTGTCGTCACAATCATCCTTTTTGAGTGACCCCCAACTTACTTGTGTTGCAAAGCTTTTATGTTACAAAACTCCAAATTAGTTAAATTATAGTCTGCCCCCATAAAAAAAGGTGGACCAGAAGCTGTTTTCAGGGTTAAAATGAGTGATCTGCATAAAAATCTTTGAAAACTGGGATAATTTAAACAGTTTTTTTTTGTACTTTTGTTTAGTTTTAATTAAAGCAAAGAAAAGTGAAATAATAAGTTAATAGCTTTTTGGTGTCAATGCCACCATTTCCATTACATTAGACTTCAGATCAAATGTATTTCATATAAGAGGATAAAAAAAAGCCTCCTTGCTTCTGATTTGAGTTAAAAAAAACACTACTTTCTGTTATGTTAGCTTTAAAGATCTTATTACAGGATAGATTAAGCTAAAAAAAAGAAATAATTTTAAAATAGAATAAAAAATATTTAACGCACATTTTAATCTTGCTGAATTTTATTCCTTAAGGCCTAGCTTTGTCTATCTTCTCTGTTCATATCATCATGGAGTTTGTCTAAAAGTTTTAAGAAAGTGCTCTGAAACATTAATGAAAAACTTCAAATAAATATAAGTGACCTAGAAAAACCCTGCAGCTCTTCTTCTTCCTCTTCAAAAAAAGCCCAAAAAATGTCAGTTTGTCATTTTGTAACTAAAGAGAAATTCTTTGTTTTTTTTGTTTGGTTAAAGTTAGACACAAATTATTTACTCATCATCAGTAAACTTGCAGCATTATTCAATCCAAATTTTAATACCTAATCTAAAATATCTAAGATTCAGTACAAATTTTCCTTAAGATAGTCAGTCCAAATGTCTTTTACAGTTACACCAATGTAAATGACTTTTGCATTATTTGGCTAACAAACTTCACATACATAAAACAAGCATGAAACTAGTCTACTTATATGGGAGAGATCAGGGATTTGGAAAAATTTTTACAGAAAGCACATTTGGTATTTTAAAAGAAACTAAACACTGTCTACAAGTTTGAAGCTTCTATCCTAACCTTCAGGGTGCCGCACGAATACTTTACCAGTGAACCTACAGTATAGGAAGTTGCCTGGTTCATGGCTGTGATTTACATGGCAGGTGGTTCATTTCTCAAGATGTTTTAAGCTTGTTCTGTTTCTGCAAGTGGAAATGCTGTGAAACATCCAGTATTAGAAATCCATTTCCATATTGTCAGAATTTCCATCAAACTGCTAAAAGTTAGAACAAGTTTAAATCATTCTGGTGATGTTGAATGTCACTATTTAAACTCATTAGGGAAACTTTAAATTAGGTTTATTTTTCTCTAGTTCTAAGGTCATCTAATTATGCAGCATTTTTTCTGTCTTCACAGGGAGTCTTTCCTGCCAGCTACATTCACTTGAAGAAAGCAATCGTTACCAACAGAGGGTAAGTTCAGAAACATGGCGGATATCTTAACATGCTGTCTGTAGGTTTTTGCTTCTGTCCAAAATGTTGTGCTTTTCCTACTGTTAGATGCTGCAAATCTTCAGTTATTTCTACATTCAATGATATTGTCAGTAGGTTTGCTTTAGAGGTGCAAGTCACTAATGCTTATACACCCTTTAAAAGAAAGATTTGTCTTCTCCTTCTTTTCCTACTACTGCGATTATTTCTACTACTATTAATGGTTATAATAATGATCAGACCTAATATTATTAAACAGACTTAATACAGATCCCTGATACAGCTAGAACTGTAAAACAACTCCAGATTTTTACTGCAGGTCCAGAAGGGGCTTAAACCATCAATTAAGCAACTTTTGCAGCTTTCATGAAATATTTTCATAGCTTTTGTGATTATAGGTTAATTTACAGCCGCCAGTTGAATGACTCCTCTGTCATGGCCTGAGGGGGTATGTATGGCTTTCTCCGGCACCGTGACTTTGAGGAGGATGGCAGTAACCCTGCCACACAAAACAACTACAAATGTGCAGACTGCTTTACGTCATTTCCCCCATACCCATAAAGATGGTAGTCGATTCCACTTAATTTCCCTGAGAGACTATATATAATTATGCAAGCTGTGCAGGGGGAGAGGGGGTGTGTATTCAGGCAATGTGGCACCTTCTTGCTGGGATCTATATATGTTTAATGTGAAACTATCATACGACTTTGCTTCGCCACTATTCATCTTTCAAAGCCACTGGAAACAGAAATGTAGTTCAATCCAGCTGCAGGTCTCTGGGAGATCAGGATTTTACAACACTATGGTCTTTAACCACACTGGGACTCTTGGGAAATGTTGCCTTCCTTCAGGCAAAACAGTACAATTTTTGTCCACTGGGGGGAGCCAAAATTGAACAAAGCTAAAAGTTCTTTACAACTGCTTTAATATTAAAAAAGTTGCTTTAAGCAATAAAACACATGATCTGTTTTAGCATTCTGTTGTGCCCAAACTTTGAAACTATTGACTCACTATCTAATGTAGCTGTTTCCAACAGTAAAAACATACATTGTACTATTTATGGTGTTTTCAATTGTCTCGTTATACCCCTGAGGTCTACCCCTACCACACTGAGCCATGTTCTGCTGGAGGTTTCTTCCTATTAAAAGGGAGTTTTTCCTCTCCACTGTCGCTTCAAGCATGCTTAGTGTGAGGGATTGCATTCGAGTCAATGATGCAATCAACTGGTTTTCCTTGCACAGAAAACTTTAAATCAATTTGACTGTATGATCTGATGAACTGTAAAGTGCCTTGATATTCTAAGGTTAAATAACTTCATTTGGCATTTACTTTGGGCTTTAACATTTTTTCTCTATTAAGCATTTAGAGTAAACAAAAAAATAAAACCTGAATATGTGAGCACAAAAAGTGGCATTGATAAAAGCTAAAATAGATCCAATTAACAGCTTATAATTATTAGACTTTGGGAAATCTAAAGCAGTCCTTTTTTAATTGCCCTTTCATTGGGTTTATAAACCCTCCAGGGAAGAACTGAACATTTAAAACACAAACCACAAAGCCTGCCACTATCTATATCGCCCCCCCCCCCCCCTTTTTTGTTTTGTTTTGCATAATTTATAGTCTTGTATATAGAAAGTCCAAAAACACTTTTGCACCAAACTGAATAATAACATCTTTAACTCATCAGTACTGATATGATTTTGCAAAAAGATGCAGAACTAAATCACTTCTGTCTACAGTGTGTTTATTGTTCTGGGAAACATTTCAAATTTGATTCAGTAAAACCTTTAGATGAGCTGTTTAGAGACTCTGCTCTGAATAATAATACAAAGTACAGTTTTTTATGTCATAAAGTAAATTTTATAATACATTTGACTGAAATAACCTGTTAAAAAAAAACAACCATCTAATTAAGAAGAGTTGTGATTAATGCCAGCTGCCCTCTCTTATAATAATAATAATAATAATAAAAAATTACATGAAGTTAAGGCATGTTTTTTCCTTATTTCAAACTACCTGTAGGGTAGATAAGTGCTACATAATGCTGAAAGTCAGAAAGTGCTTCATCGATTTTAGAAGCCGGTGTATGGTAATAAATATGAATGAAAGTATGCTACTGATTGGAATCTACCACATCCATCCAATGTGAACATTTTTTTATTACACTTAGTATTCTTGGCTTGGTCTCTCTAGTTTCATTATATGAAAATGATTTCCTAACTGTCGTCTCAGAGGACTTTCATGTCCCCTAAATTCACCTCCAGGAGATAACTGATGAGGCAATAGGCATTTTCATTCGGATGTTGCATTCATACTTCCCCTAGAAGGAGCATACGTACACTGCTGGGAGTCAGAGAAATAATGAGAAATCATAAAAAAGGGCATTTAGTTATGAAACTGAACTGAGATAGGTATTTACAAGTATGGAAATTGTTCACTTTATAATAACTTTAGAGGTTAAATATGTTAGAATATTCTTTTTAGACACATTGATAGATTACTATAGAAATATGTGACAAATAACCAGCTATAGGGGGAGCATTAAAGACCATTTAAGGGGGTGTGTTGGCTTACTGGTTAGACCAGTGCTGTTGTTCTCTGAGAAGGTTCCAATTACCCAGTTCAATCCCCACAGCCTCCACTGTCGGTTCCTGAGTAAAACCCTTAACTGCACACTGCTCCCCGGGCACCGCACAATGGCAGCCCACTGCTCGCCAATGTGATGGTTTAAATGCAGAGGAACATTTTTCTGTGTGAGATCCATAAAGTTCAATTATTATTATAATCCAACTTGTTAAAGCTGCCTTTCAGTTTGCAAACTCGTTAATCAGGATCAACGAGCAAAAAAAGGGCTCCTAAAAAGATTAAAACATTATAACCACCTTAGTAGAGTCCAAACAAAATATCTCTTAACAAATATCAATCAGTTTCCTTAAAGTTTACCTTTGATATACAATTACATACAGATGTGACACAGTTTCAGCTTTGTATGGCGGATAAAGCTTTTATGCTTGCAGCTGTTAAAATACCAGAGTTAAAAATGTATAGATTATTTCAAGTCAGAACAGGAACCATCTGTTCCCATTAAGACCAGTAGATTAAAACCGTTGCTGACCTACATGTGGCTGAAGGTTAATGACTCCATATAGCATGTGATTCATTCCTGGGACTCACAGACACATCTCAATAAATTTGAATATGGTTGATAAGTTCATTCATTTGAATCATTTCTTTAATAGAGGGAAACTCATGTAGCTTCATGATACACAGATCGATGTATTACAAATATTTATTTCCTTTTTATTTCAAATATGATTTATTTTAATGTAAACTCTAAATGCTGTTTCTGGGAAAATTGGAATATAACATGAGGTTAAAAAATTATATTTTTGGCACAGAAAGGCTCTCTGTATTTGTTCAGGGCTTATTTTGTATAGGTTACTGCATCAATGCAGCTTGACATGGATGCGAGGTGTGATGAGGTGTGATGGAAGCTCAGGTTGCATTAGAAGCATCCCTTTTCTCCTCTACCTGATAAACTGTCATTTGGGTTTCTGTCTACCTAGTTTGCTGGACAGATAAGCACAGTAAAAATCATAAATATTAAACCAGGTATTGGCATTTTTTTTTGCAGCATGGACAAGCTAAGATGTGCTGGAAAAAATGATCAGATCAGGTTAAAGCTTGTTAACTCAGGGAGCATTACAGTATGTTAGAATTAAGAAATCAAAATTGGCCATATTGTATATTAATGGATACCATCTATGCCCCTATTCATATTTGTTTTTTCTCATTATGTCTGTCTTGCCCTCCTGTATTTGTTTCCATTGGAGTTTTATTGAAGTTTGATTTTGCCTTGTTTGAAGCTGCATCAAAAGTACCAGGGAGGGAAAAAGACATTTAGGTATTCAAACAAAATTTTTTTTTTACAAGCCAGCAGTTTTATTTTCTATGGAGCCTCTGTTATACCAGTCTGACTGTAGCTTATCAGGCACCAAAAATTATTTTTTCCATTTTTAAGCTTGAAAATTTTGCACAAAAAACCCAAAAAGGTTGCAAAGAGTTTCCACCTTTCCACCTGAAGATAAAGTCGTTGTACTGCCTTAAAGAAAATGGCTTCAACCATATGAATACCAATTTCCAATATGGAACATTTTAACTGTTTTCCTTTTACAGCAAAAACAAAAACTTAAATAAAGCCACATTGAGTAGAGGTAATTGAAATGATGCAGTCATATCTATTTTGATCACACTGTCTTCTTTCAGTGATGATAATTGACGCCACATATACTAACACTGCACTGCAAGCATGTAGCGTTCTCTGTCAGAGCAGAACTGGAGGACTTTTGCTAAAATGTGGGATCAGCTTCTCAATGTAGGATCAACCAGACCACATTACTTTCTTTCAGTCTAATAATAAAAAGATAAAGATTTTACATAATATAGTCAGGAGGCATACACTGTATAATAATCAAATATTGATGAGAGCATTTTATCCAACATTTAAGTATTAATGTGAAAGAGATGCTGTAAACGATGAACCATTATCAGATGTTTTTATTCAGTGTAAGGTTTTTTTCAAGTGTGCTCTAAAAGTGAACCTCATTATTATTAGTCAAAAGGTGAACATTTTTAAGACCTCTGTAAAACAAAACTGCTATTGACTTTGAATCTGCTAAATTGTTTGGGAGCAATTGTTTTAAATTTTCTAATAAATAAAGATTTCACAAAGCTGTAAAAATAGGATCCATCTTTTCTTAAATTAACTCTATCACAATTGATGGTTTACTCTTTAGTGTTACTTTAATCACAATTTGCAAAGATGCTGTAGCCTTTTTTTTTTTTGACTAAAACATTGCTTCCTCACAACAAATGTACTTCTTAATAGAAGCAGTTCTTGAAAAATTTGAATCCAACTTAAATATAAATACAGAACAAAACTACTTAACATAAATGCATTTATTTTGCAAAATTATTCAATAAATTACTACAGTACATTCATGCTGATTTTGCAGAGTTCCTACCTTAGTCAGATAAATAACATG